TCAGAACAGAGGTTTCAATTTGAGTAGTTTATTGGAAAGTCTGGGTGGGCAAAACAGCCACCACCAAGCCTGCCAAAGAGCACGACGTCATCGAGGTCTAGGCTGTACCTCCTGTGTGGGCTGCAAAGAATACATTAACAGGTGTGCTGTTCAAGGAACAGCTCTAGAGCTCTTGGTCAAGCAGGACATATGGGACTGGGGAAACAAACTCATCTCCTCCCTTAAGGCACTAGCTGTGAGCTCACTGACACAGATGGAGGGTTCCTCAGAGGGACTGTGCTATGCAGTGTCTTTCCAAACTACTCTGACCTGAGACCCCATTCAGCCTCGACTTTCGGCAGTTTTCAGTGAAGAGAACTACTCCTCTGCAGCATGTGGTCTTGGAAAAGTTGAGCCAGTGGGTAAGCAGACTGATGTTCCCCGCCGCCAGCAGACACCAGACTTCTCAAGTCCCTTTCTGCACAAGAACACCAAGCAGGGGACAGGCCTTGTTGTGGTGAGGCTCCCACTTAACAGAGAACTGGAGATAACACGGCACCCATGGCCCATGTGATTACATACATGAAGGGTGAGAGATGAGCTGGTCTGGCATATAACTTTACAGTTCCTTGTGGAAAATGCAAAGCAGATTAAGACTTTTGAATATCTTTATTTATTTAATACGTTGGTCTGACCAGTTCTGAAAAGCAGTTCAGATGCTGCAATTATATTTGGTGTAATACAGAAATGATGAATGGCTTGTCAAAAACTAGTCTTCTGGGGCTGATGCTGAGACAGGGTCTTTCTGTGTGTCCCAGCATGGCCCTGAATATGGGGTCCTTCTACCTAGCCTTCCCGAGTGCTGTGATTACAGGCATGTGCCACCACACTCAGCTCAAAGAATAGTCTTAATGTAATTATGACCTTTGTAAAAACTAAACAAAAAAAAACTGAAAAAAAACCACCAAATCTGCTACATTTGAAAATTGAACTTTGATTATTTACAACAGATTTAACCCAAAATTCAGCTCAAAGATCTTAGCCTGGAACCCATCACTCCTAGAGTTCTTAGTGATGATGTGGTTACAAAATGGATTTGATTCCAAACTAATACAAAATTGATCCATTCCTCTCATGGCAACAGTGCTGCTCCATTGTAACTTATTAAAGACTTATTTTATGCTATCTTATAAATATCTAAAAGTAGTTAAACTTTTCTGTGTGGAATTTATTTTGAAATAGCTTTCATTATTATAATATGATTTTCAGAAGTAGAAGTCTCTCCTAGGATGATAAACTACTTTCCTCTCTATTACCTAGGTTACAATAATACACTACAGCACACCACACTATACTATACACTATACTACACTACAGCACACTACACTATACTACGCTACACTACACTATACTACAGCACACTATACTATACTACGCTACACTACACTATACTACAGCACACTATACTATACACTATACAACACTACTCTATACTACACTATACTACAGCACACTACTCTATTCTACACTACATTACACTATACTACACTACACTATACTACAGCACACTACACTATACTATACTACTCTATACTATACAACACTACTCTATACTACACTATACTATACTACACTATATCATACTACACTACACTACTCTATACTACACTGTATTACACTCCACTATACTATACTACACTACTCTATACTATACTATATTACACCATACCATACTACACTACTCTATATTACACTATACTATACTACACTACATTACTCTATACTACACTATATTACACTCCACTATACTATACTACACTATACTATGTTGAATGGGTAAGTAAATAAATGAATTTAAGAGTTAGCTTTGAGAACATTTAGTTGTGAGGGTGTGGGGATGAGGGGTGAAACTGGGAGGAGTTGGGGGAGGACTGGGGAATATAGTCAAAATACATTGTATACATGTATGCAATTCTCAGCAATTAAAATATTATATAAAATAGTTATCTTTAGAAAAATACCAAAATGTAATTAAACTTGGAGTATTTTTGTCCATCTGTAAGGTTTAATAAAAAGTTCATGGACTGAGGATACATCTCAGTAGTAGAATTCTTGCCTAGGGAGTGCTAACTAAGCCTGGTTTCAATCCTCAGTACCATGAAGGAAAAAAAGAAAAGCAAAGATTTAAAAAGGCAGTTTTGTCCGTTTCAGATGTATTCTCTGGTACTAAAAACAATACAAGATACATCATCATTAAACCCTGCAGTTTATTCCAGGAAAGAAGGCTTGATGCATCTTTAATCTCCAGAGGATCCAATCAGGCTATTCATTTTCTGGCCCTAGGCTATGTCACTTTTTTGTTACTGGATGAAGCATTTGTTTTGCCTGTAGGCAGAAAGTTGTAATGTGTTGGTCAGATTTCAAGCCTGCACTACCATGAAATATTTAATGAAGTATAAAGAACAGAAGTAAATCAGAGATTAAAGCTCCTTCTAGTGCTTAGAGGTGATGGATGAAAGCTGTGGTAGTTAAAAGACTCTCATGCTGGACAAGTAAGAAAATGAGTGGGGTGGAGTGGAGGCAGAGTATGAAGGACCCCAGGAAGGCTAACTGGAGTTGGGAAGCTCAATGCCCAGCACCAAGGGCAAGAGCTAGGGAAGAGCTGGGAAGTGACAGCCAGCACAGAAATGAAGTCCATGATAATAAGAACCTGGCTAGCAACATATCACAAACAGGTGTTTCTTTAGGCAGGCCATTGTTGAGTGATGGCCTGGTTGATTGACCGATTAACCATTAATTCTCTCGTGGCAGTAAATTGCTGGAATAGAGGTAATTATGTCATAATGTGGCTTGTAAAAAGTATAGCAAATAGAGACACGAGCTTTGTAATATTTCCACAGAAGAGGCTGCATCAGAGTTGTATCCATGAGGGTGGGTTTGCAGGGAGCTAGAAGGTGATAGAGTTATAGGATAGAGGAAGCAGGGTACTTTCCCGGCAGAGGAACCATAGGCAAAATGGCACTGAGTTATGTGGCTGGCAGGGTGATGCCTGTAGCTATGCTACTGATGATGATCAGCAAGGAGGGCATGCTTCTTAAGACACTGCTGGCATGGCCTGAGAAACCGACAATGAACGCTCGGGTTAACGCAATGACAGTGGGAATACCAGAGAGGGGTCAAGTTCAAGAGACTTCGAAACATGTAAGGATGGAGAGTGGGGAATCAAGATGTGAGAGACGTCATGTGTAGCTCAGGTTTCCAATATGACAGACTGATACAGAAAAGATAAGAGATGAGAGAGTTTGGGGGCAAAATACTGAGTTCAGATACTGATATTTGCATTTGAGGAACCCATGGAACATTCATGAAGGGGTGAGTAAAGAGTGAGCAGTGAGTGAATGCAGAATGCAAATCGTCAGGAGAGGCCTGAGAAGAAGTAGGTATGGATTGCAAGAGGCATGATGTGTGACCAATGGCATCTGTTTTGTTTTTCTTTTTCTTTTTTTCTTTTTTATCACCTTGACACAAACTAGAGACGTCTGGGAGGAAAACTCAACTGAAGAATCATCTCCATCAGATCGACCTATGGGCATGTCTGTGGAGGCATTTTTCTGACAAATGGCTGATATGGACACTTCCACCCCTGGGCAGGTGATCCTGGGCTGTGTAAGAAAGTAAATTGAGAGAGCAATGGCTAGCAAGGCAGTGAGCAGCCCTCCTGCTTCTCCGTGCCTTCCTCACCTCCCACCTCCAGGTGCTCGTTTGGAGCTCCTGCCCCAGCTTCCCTCAATCATGCACTGTAAACTGCAAGCCAAACACACCCTCTCCTCCCCCACTTGCTTTTGGTCATGGTGTTTTTATCACAGTAATAGAAAAACAAACTGGAACAGTATTTTAGAAGGCCATGGTAGCACATATTGTGTAAGTAGACATATACAGTTGGCAGATGAAGAGGTGCCCACAAAAAGCCCAAGATGGAGTAGTTAGAGAAGGAAAGAAATGTAAAATATATCAAGAAAATCAAGGAGATGATAGGCATGGAGTAAACGCTGTACAAAATTCAAGAATTCTTTCCGTCCCTCCCTCCCTCCCTCCCTGCCTTCCTCCCTCCCTCCCTCCCTCCTTCCCTTTCTCCCTCCTTCTATCTCAGCAATATACACATAGAGAGATCTACTAGATGTAACGAGGAAGGCATGGGTGGGAGCTGAGGAAGTGGGTGACTTGGAAGGGCTACAGGATAGTTTATTAATGGTGTGCAGCATGTGAACACCGAAAAACACAGAAATTAACTATGTTTCTGTAGGAAAAGAGAAAGGAATCAAGAAGGAAACAGTGGAGAAACAAATGTAGGTATGTGTGTTCCAGGGTCAGGGTTATGTCAGACAGTGAGACAGGGAACTCTTGTCACGTAGACTGCCGTGACATGAGCCTGATTTATACCTGGAGCAAAGTGCACCCGTAAAACCTGTAAATGTCAACCGTGTACTTTTAACACTAAGTTGTTAGAGTAAGACAATCTTTTCTACATCAGAGAACTAGATTAGATACCTTTTGAGGTCACCTCTGATCCTAAAAATGTGAATCTGCAGACTTCAATTCTTTATTATCAAATTTACAAGTATTTTGCCAAACTAGTTCTTAGGAAAATGCCACTTAGACAATTCCAATTTTTCTACTCCTTGCCCTTTCTAGAATCTTCTTTCTCTCCAGTCTTAACTGTATTCTGTAGCAAGTTATATACCTACTGTTTTGATCCAATTCTTTCATTATACTTACCAGATGCAGCTATTGTATCAAATAAAATATCTCAATTAATGCTGCTTTGATCACAATGAGGACTTTTTGGGAAGATGATTCAATAGTGACTTAGTATCTCAAATCCTTCAGTATTGATAACATACACTTACATCTTAGTAAGTCACTGTGCTAAGAAGGAAGGCTTGCATGGGTTTTCTAACACTGTAGCTACCAGTGGTCTAGAGAATATACATCAGAAACAGTAAAATATTTAGAATCCTTACCACATAGACCAGGAACTGCCAGCCAACAAAGTAATACTGTACTGTTCTTGCTGAGATGTCCTGGGTCATATTTGGAGCAAAATTCACTAATAAATATGTTCCTGCAAATGCCAGTGTCATACCTTTGAATAAAAAAGAAAAGATAAACCAAACTGAAAAAAGATTAAAGTTTTACTTTTTCCTTCTTTCCAGTTGGGGTGGGGTCTTATTATGTAGTCTGAGCTGGTTTGGAACTCATTCTGTAATACAGGCTGGCCTTGAACTCACAACTCCTCCTGCCTAGTCTCTCAAATACTGGGATTACAGGTGTTCACTATCAGCATGGCTACTTTAAAACTTTTCTTGACACAAATGTTACCTAGAGGGGAGTATTATATGTTAAAATTCGGGAATCCCTGATCCCCCACCTCAACTGGTCCCATTAAAATACAAATCACCAAACTGTCCCTAAAGAGTACCATATCTTTTTTTTTTTCCCCCAAGACAGTGTTTCTCTGTGTTATAGCTCTGGCTGTCCTGGAACTCACTTTGTAGACCAGGATGGCCTCGAACTCACAGAGATCTGCCTGCTTCTGTCTTCCAAGTGCTGGGATTAAAGGCCTGTGCTGACCACTGGAACACACATACCTACATTTGTTTCTCCACTGTTTCCTTCTTGATTCCTTTCTCTTTTCCTACAGAAAAATAGTTAATTTCTGTGTTTTTCAGTGTTCACATCTTTAAAGGAGAATAAAATCCAGGGAGTGGACAGAGCAGGATGTAACTCCAGACTCTGTTGTCCCAGGTGAATCCTATCCTCCTCAGGGAGTTTTCCCCAAAACACAGAGAAGATCAAAACATGCACAGATAGAGAGGTAAGGGCACACTCATCTGACTGTTTCCACACCATGAACACAAGTGGATCTACACAGATCTAGATCATCTAAGTTTAGATGGAAGTGCCCGCAGTGGAGGATAGGGCAGTCCATCTCATGATGACCAGCTCTTGCTCACTCATTCCTGGAACCCGTGAGCTTGGGTGATCTGGACTTTGAAACTTGGCAATGGGCACTTCAATCACTGTCACTGATGGCAGTCCTTCCAGAAGTAACTGTGGTGGATGGGACCCTCTGTAGAATTCTAATAATCTACTAGGGTCTAGAAGTTCCATAGGTGGAAGTTTCTCTCCTGCCTGCCTGTTCAAATATAAGAGTTTTTCTTATATTAGTTATAATGTTTTTTAATTTTAGACAAAAAGGGGGAAATGTGGTGATATTTTGTTTGTGCTCTAACAAATAAAGCTTGCCTAGAGATCAGAGTGTGGAACTAGCCACTAGAGGCCATGCAGTGGTGGTACACACCTTTAATCCCAGCTCTTGGGATCTCAAGCCTTTGATCCCAGTACTTGGAAAGCACATGACATTTGGGAGGCAGAAACAGGAAGTAATATGGCTGGGCAGAAAGAGGAAGTGATAAGGCAGGGTGGAGACAGGAGCTCGGCCCTTTCAGTCTGAGGATTCCTAGAGGTAAGAAGTTTCAGTGACTGGCTGCTCTGCTTCTCTAATCTTTCAGCATTCACCCTGATATCTGACTCTGGGCTTTTATTATTAAGACCAATTAGAATTAGTGCCATAAATCCCAGGGTTATCATAGTAAAGACAGAACCCATCATGAGCCTAATTGCTGTCTGTTCATCACGGTAGCATTACTTAGAACCATGAAGAGTAGAGATGTGCATGGGAGGGATGCCACAGGAGGGATGTAAGGGGAGCAAGCCCTTCTGAAAAGTATTAAAAAGTGCCTATTTGTCTATAATTAGCAGCCTGAGAAAATGCTGTTTAAGTAGCCCTTTTCAGATACTGCATTTGAAAACACACCTTCTTTCACCACTGACCGCATCTCAGTGGTGGATATAACTTACAAACAGCCTTGAATCCACTGGAAGATGTGGTGACATTTTGTTTGTGATGAAATGTGATATTTTATTTGTATGTTAATAAAGTTGCCTGGAGATCAGAGGCCATGGCTATTTCCTCTGTATTTGGCTCTGTGTTTCTTATTTACTAAGACTGTTCAGAAATTCGTCTACAGGAAGAGTCTGGTCTATTTGTGGGGCCCCACAGAGGCTCCCTAGTAAGGCCTTAATCAAGGTCAGAAAGTCTGAGCTTGCTTTACCCAGCAGGGCTGCATAATCGGATGATTTGACCAGGGACGTGGTTACTACGTGTTTTGAAGGGTCTACACTTGGCTGTACATTGTGCTTTGATCTTAAAAGGGGGAGGTCTTTTGCCTCTCCCCTTGGTAGTTTATAAAAAGCCCACTAGAATAAATCTTGGGGTGACTGGGTATTGACTCAGGGCCCTCCCGAAGCTATCCTGTGTCTCTGTCTTTCTCTCCGGCTATGTCTCTTTCTCTCTAATATTTCCTCATTCCTCTCCCTGCCACCCCAGAACCCTTTGACACTCCAGTTTGGGGATGGAGCCCATCCTCCTTCCTCGTGCCCTAGCCTACAGTAATTCTATTTTCTCATTAAATGAAAGTCAGTTCTCTTGATAGGCAGATCACTTACCAGATCTGAGACAAAAGCCTGGTGGTTTAAAACAAAGACTTTATGGGCCTTTCCCCTGCCTGTAGGGAACTGGGCTGCTGGGCTGATCTGCCTGGATTATTTATAACAGTATGAGTTGGTAAGGAAGACCCTCCAAAGACTTAAAAAGCAAAACAAAACAACCCTCCCTGCAAAAACAAAAACAAAAACAAAAAAACAAAAACAAAAACCACACCCAGTCTTTGAGGAGAGACTGGATTTTTAGGCTCCTAAGTCTTTGTCTGTTTTGTCAAGGGTCTTTCTCTCTGTGTGCTTACTCTGTGTGTGTGTGTGTGTGTGTGTGTGTGCGCGCGCGCGCGCGCGCGCGCGCGTGCACACGCACGCACATTTTCTCATCTCTAATAAAAGCCTTTCTACATTGGCAAAAAAAAAAAAAATCAGTTCTCCTACAAGCCTACAAGGGCTGTTTCCCATGTAGCTTGATATAATATACAAATAATGAGATATCTTCCTATAAACATGTACAATGTATAAAGCACGTACACAAGCTAATCTGTGCTCTTTACAGTAGGGAAACCAACTGTCCTGGAAGGGAGGATGGTACTCTTTATAAATTCCAAACTAGTTATGTTATAGACAAGAATGGCTGACATGAAGGTAATACTGTGATCAATATTAAAATGTGGTAATCCTGCCGGGCGGTGGTGGCGCACGCCTTTAATCCCAGCACTCGGGAGGCAGAGCCAGGCGGATCTCTGTGAGTTCAAGGCCAGCCTGGGCTACCACGTGAGTCCCAGGAAAGGCGCAAAGCTACACAGAGAAACCCTGTCTCGAAAAACCAAAAAAAAAAAAAAAAAAAAAATGTGGTAATCCTAAAAACATTATCGTTAATAAAAGGGGACAGGAAGAGGGTTCAGTGGATAGAGTGCTTGTTGCTCCAGGATGAGAGCTGAGTTCAAGTTCCTAGTACCCACATAAAGAGATGAGTGTGGCTGTGCACACACATCTAACCCCTGTTCTGTGGGGGATGAGACAGGAGGATTATTGGGGCTCCTTGGCAGCTCTAGTTCAGTGGAAAATACTGTCTCAAGGGGACAGACAGAGTGACGGAGCAGGGTGCTTGATGTCCTCCTCTGGCCTCTGCACTAACATTTACATACATGTGCACAGACCACACATGTACACCACCACCACCCACACTACACACACAATTATAAATGCTTTACACTTGATTAACTTAATGTTTATAACAAATCTGAGAAATGATTAGAATAATCTCCTCTGTCTGTGGGAACACATCCCAAAGCCTCCCTGTGCCTAAAATCTCACATAGTACAAACTTCTGTTTGTACTATCTATTTACCTATGCTAAAGCTTAATTTACAAATGGGTGCAGCAAATGATGAACAATAACAACAAAACAGAGCAACAAAAGCAACATACTTTAACAAGTTATTTAAAACTTACAAATTGCTTATTTCTGCAATTTCCCATTTAACATTTTTGGACTGTAGTTGACCATAGGTCACTAGATCCACACAGTTAGCAAATATATGTATAAGGGCAAATTGTTTACTATTATACAATTATATTATTACAAAATATATTATAAATAAATCCTATAGTGTATAGTATATACAATATATAATGTGTAATCTTTTTTACTACCTACATTTGACAAATAAAGACAATGAATCAGAAAAGGAAGAACTATTCTGCCTGGTGTTTTCCAGTTCCGTAAGTGGGAAGCTTGGTTTGGAACCCAGGCAATCTATTTTCTTGACGGTTACATTCCATTGATCAGTGACTGCCTTAGGGGGCACTGCTGAGTGGAGCCCTCATGCTGCACAGAGCACAAGTGGAGACTCCACAGAAGGCTCCTGGCAGAGGCCCTGAGGTGCTGGACGAGTTTCAGGTTATTTTGACCCTAACTTTCCTTTAGGAGAGCATTCCAGGTGGGCACTCCCCATAGCGAGTTTAAGGAGACTTATGCCAACAGACACTTCTAAGACATCAAATCTGTTTGGGAAGAGGTGGATTAAAGAAACCTGAGCAGTTCTTTTCCTGGAAGACCTCTCAGGTGCACCAATATGTTGATGTTTTCTGACTCACCCTGTAGACAACAAAGTTATCTTAGTTTCTGAACACATTTGACCATTTATTCTGCTCTGAAGTGGTGTTTTGAGGAGTATTTAATACTTGGGAAATGCTTGACATTTAATGGGCTTGCTATGAACTCAGCCTTCGTCTCAGGAGGCTACTGAACTGCTACCAGTCTCCCGGAACACTACGGAAGGAACGAAGCATGAATAGGGTGAAAGGACCGGAGCCTGGAATCCAGGTGTTCCTGTCCCCTGGCTCCTCAATGTGCCAAGGAAGACAGATGTATTCAGTTCTTCAGCAGATGCTCCTCTACCGGATGACTCTTCTCAATTAAAATTCTAAACTTCAGTTTTCTAAATTTTCTGACTTCTGGGAGCCTTCAGTTTTAAAATCTTCAGCTAACTTGACTCCAAACAATTCTTTTGGGCACTGCATTATTTCTTGATTGATGAGAGTCCAGGTATTACTTTCTTGGAAATCCAGAAGTCACAC